TTGATGTGATCTTTGAGCAAGAGGAGCCGTCGGCACCCGAGTCGAGCCATTGGATGGCTCTGTGTAGGGTTCATATACACAAAACTTATAGTCAGTTATAGTTCTACAAGACTACAAGGGGTGCATGGGATCTAGCACAAGAAGGGAAGATCAGGCCCTTGGAAGATAATCTATATACTCTCCCATTTTTCATGTTTGGGCGACTGGGAAAGAGTCATGGAGAAAGGGTCGTGGAATTATCGAGGGTATGTTGTGATCATTGTGCCATATGATGGCTACACCAAACTGTCGCATATCATGTTGGACACTCTGGAACTGTGGGTGCAAATCCATGACTTGTCCGATGGGTACGCTCCACTGTTGAAGGCCTTGGCTGGGAAAGTTGGAGAGGTGGTACCTAAATCGCATGACTTCGAGGAAACTTCTATATGGTGAGGCTTTGGATTGACATGTTCAAGCCCCTGAAAAACGCCATGTCCATGGTGAAGGAAAATAAGCGTCGGATTTTGGATTGGATGGATCGTCATATAAAGAACAAGGGACGCACCGAAGAAGCTAAAAGCTTTGTTCCTTCAAGCTATTGTTGGCGGGTGGCGGATGAGAACGACATACACCTCCTTAGCTGTTTTGGATTGGATGGATCATCATTGTTCAGTCTACTACGATGGCTTATGGATCTAGACATCCTTGCGCCTTGGCCATGGGACCTGGAGCGACAATTGCAACTACCCTCACCTTCCTCCAATTCCTTCTTACTTCTGTTCCTGCTCTTGTCATTTTCACCTGGTGTACCATCACCATTCCCGTCCTTTGGTGTGGGGTACCTACAAGAACGAACTGGGGGAGGGTGATCTGCCTGCGGCGCTAGCAACGCTCGAGAAATTTTGGTCGATACGTTGATTGATGGCGATCACTAATTACTGCGATTTCGCGACGGGTTTGCAGAGGGGATAGGGAGCAGAAAGGAGAGCATGTTTACGGCAAAAGGGAGGCGAATCCTCGAGAGTGAGAGTTTTGAATCAAACTGGGAAAGGCCAATCCATATTCGAAGCTTGCGAGCGTCAAAACGACATGGGTTTGTTGAAGCTTGGGCTCCCGACGCCTCAGTTTGGGCCGGCCCACGGTCGCGAGGTTGTTTCATCTCTTTTCTGTTTCTTTTTTTCTTTTTCTTTCTTCTATTTTTTCTTTTATTCATTTTTATTTTTTCGTACATTATATAAAGTTCATTGTGTGTCTATATGCTAAAATGTTCATCATATATTTAGCGAATGTTCACCCTATATTACGAAAATGTTCAAGATATTTTCTTAAATGTTCATTGTGTATTTTAGAATTGTTCAACGCATATCACAAAAATGTTCAATGTGTATTTGAATATTGTGCAGCCTATATATCACAAAATGTTCAGTGTCTATTTTAAAAACTATTCAGCATACTACAAAATTGTTCATCATATATAAAAATTTCAATAATGTTCAGAATTTCAAAAGTTCGTTCATGTTTTTCAGAAAAAAAAATTCACTCTTAAAAGTTTGTTAGAATATTCAAAATTTGTTCATGATTTAAAAAAATATTTGTATATTTTAAGGAAAATTATTCACATTTTCCCCTAAAAATGTAGATAGATTTGAAGAAAAAAAGCCAACTATTGCTCAACTTAGTACTTTAAACTTAGTGCTTGTTATTGGCAAACCTCAGTCACCAGCTTGACTGGCTAGCGACACTGCTCTCCATCTCGAGGTCAGGAATTCGACTCCCCGTCTAAGCTAATGATTTTTTGTCACATTTTGTTTATTTTGTCGACGCCCGCGTGTGGACCGACCTGTTATCGTGCCCCTTCAGCGAAATCATGTCTACTGGACGCACACAGGCATCCAATAGGAGGTCTCGTTGGAAAACGTGGGACGAGATGCAAGCGGGGGTTTGTCTGGGCCGGAACCTTATGCGATCGAGACCAAGATCAAGATTTGTTCTCTGGGTAGTCTGGGCTTATGGACCTACGGTCTCACGGGCCGGAGGTCGCCTATAGATGGGTTGCAGGCGCCATAAAGCGACTTGGATTAGGACCGAGGGTCGAGGGTGACTCCTGTGCCGAGACCCACCGCGTCACCTTGCGCCACATATGTTCGCGTCGTCGCAGTTACTCTTTCGCGAAATAATGGCGACACACGGCGCACTCCTCGCCTCTGGCGATGCCTATATGCCACACACTTTTTTCCTTCCGTGAGAGGCCCATATTTACTTTTTATGAAGTTCGTTTTTTTCGTGAAAAAAAGTTTATCAAAACCTATCAATGTGGAAGGTGTGAGTGACCTTTGCAAAGAGTACTCATTAATTAGTTTTGTTTTGTGAGCCAATGCTCGTTAACTAGTTTTTTTTAGCACAAAGCAGCTACGCTTTATTGAACATGAATAATGTTTGCAGGAATGGAGTTCATTTGTTCTCTCGGTAGGTTGGGCTTATGGGCCTGCGGTCTCGCGGGCCGGAGTGCGCCTATAGATGGGCTGCATGTGCCATAAATTCGAGCTGGATTACGACCGAGGGCCGAGGGTGACTCCTGTGCCACAGGGCCCACCGCGTCGCGTTGCGCCACACACACGTTCGCGTCGCCGCGGTTACTCCTCCGCGAAATAATGGCGACACGCCGCGCTCTCCTCTCCTCCGGCGATGCCTGTATGCGACGGCAATGGCGCCCTGCTGTGCCCGTCTGCCCCCACCCCTCCTCTTCGGCCAGCCCGCCCTCTTCCCCTTCCCGCCTCCTCTCCTCCATCGCTCGCGCCGCGCCGCGCTCGTGGGGCGGAGTCGCGGATGTACCCGGGGAAGACCGCGCGGCGCGCACCGAATCCGGCCGTGGTCCGATTGGCCGAGGTGATTTTACTTTCTCTCCGAAGTTCTCTCTCGGGTGGAATGGTTGGATTCGCGGGTGCGCTGGGTGTCAGTTATGCAGTGCAGAGCAACTCAGTAAACAGTAAACAGTAAACACTAGTGTCAGTTAGCTTTGTGAGATGCTACTGAGTAAATATTTCTTTACGGAGGGACTACTCAGCTGCTGTCTAGCTTAGCACTGCATACTTGTGTGGATTTTGGGTGATGACTGATGGGTCTTGATGCAAGCTACAGTGCTACAGTTCTGCTTTCGCCTGTGGTACTGTTCCATGAAATCAGTTCAATTCTAATAAATAGTACTACAAGGTAGAGAATTCTCTGTCTTTTGCTTTCAATTCTAGCAGTTCAGTTAGGATCCCTTCAATTTGATTTTGGGACGTGTGACAGTCAGACGAAACAGACACAGGCAATATGTATTGGTTTCAGGATAAAGATCACTGAATGTATTGCACTTACCTTCTTTAGGGGTGTCACTTATTGAATATATCACTCTTGTTAGTAGGATTTTTTTAACTGTTGCAGCATCGAAGCACGTACTGCATCATCTAAACACCACTACTTGCCGTTGCCAACGACAGCCAACGATCCTACAGTTAACCTCGGTGGATGTCCTTGAATTTGCATGCCCTGGTAACCTCTGTGAAACTTTGTGCTCTGTCGGCTCTTCCTGCTCTTGCACTTGAACATCGGTGTGGCGTCTTCTATGATTGAAGAGGACAAGGTCCTTGTGTTATGCCAGGAGAGGAAGCGTTTTGTTAGAGAGGCACTTGATGGAAGATGCGCACTTCCATGTGCTCACCGTGATTACATTGTGTCATTTAGAGACACGGGATCTCTTCTGAGAAGATGTTTTGAAGGAGAAAAGTCTCCTGCAACTGCAAATGAGGGGTGTCATTTTCAAGAGTCAGAAGATGGTTTGGACAATCCGTCCACCGAAACATTGGCACAGGTGCACAAGAACCCCAATGATTTGTCTGGTGATAATACTCTAACAGAACAGTCTATTGCGTATCATGCCTCAGATAGTATAGCTTCAGAAAATATTGCTTCAGCAGACAGGCTCAAGGGCAAGAGGAGAATAATAGGTGCTATCACAAATTAAAATGATGAAATTCTTGCCATTCCCCTAGTTCATGTGGTCCCATCATCTGGGGCGGCTCGCACTATCGACTCCCAGAAACCTTATCCTGAAGTAAAGAATGTGGCGAAGGACTTCTCTTCATGCATGAAAGAGGTTGAGATATTATTCTTTAGGGCATGTGATTCTGGGAAACAAGTTCCAGTGATTCTGGAAGAAGATAAAATCCAGTTCCGCCCTCTACTACCTGAAGAAATAGGTTGGATATGTCAAGTAACGTACATTTGTGTTCCATGATCCAGTTTTTTCAGGTTCTCTTGCCATTGTTCAATTTTTATTTTTTTTGCTGCAGCACATGGATCAAAGGGATCAAAGTATCTTGCGACATTTCTTGTTTGCTGCAGGGAGGAAGTTTCTATTACCAAACGTAAGCTTTCTCTTTTGTAGTTGTTAGTATAACTTTGTTTCTACTATAAGTGTACATCACTGTCCTGTTTCTGTTTTAGAATATATTCAGCAGCATTTTCTGTGGATAACTGATTAGTACTGCTATTCAAGTTATTTCCACCCCCTATACTTTTTAACTTCGTTTAATTTGTGCCTTTTTGCTGTTGTGATTGTTGTATTTTTGTTACTATTCTACTGAGATCAGTCTCATATGCTAGAGGTTCCCCAGGCAATTGACCTTGCTGTTATTTTTTCTTGTTCAGCGTTTCATTTTCTGTTGCAAAACATCAGACGTGGTCTTTCTTACCGTGACAAATAATTTAATCATGATGGTTTAATGCAGCTCCTCCTCAAGCTGTCGCCATCTAAGAATCCTCCTGGAACTATTCTTGACATCCATACATCGACGCTAGATACTCTCTCCGTCCCAAAATTCCTGTCTTAGATTTGTCTAGATACGGATGTATCTAACACTAAAATGTAACTAGATACATCCGCATTTAGACAAATCTAAGACAAGAATTTTGAGACGGAGGGTGTAGATTGTAGGCATGGGAGACAAAGCTTTATGATGAAGTTAAGGTAATAGCTTTGCTACTCCACATTCACACTTTGAATATTGCTGCATGTTCCCCATTTCTGTTTTCTGTAGCATTCCCTTGTCCCCTTCCTTTTGAGCATAATGAAATATATATTGATTCTTCTGACTTACTATTGTGAGTTGTGACTGCCTTCACTGGAACAGCATTCCATTGTCAAAAAAAGAAGAAGTAATTGTATAGGTTTTTCAGATGTCACTTAATTAATTTTAGATAGTGGAAGACACAATTGCACGCAGCCAAAATTTATTAGTGTCCTGAAGCGAAAAAGGTCGAAACTACTAAGCTTCCATACATGACTTGCAGTTATGCGGCCCGTTGCCATTTGGTAACGCCAAGTGTGATTCTGCTTTCAGGCCAGCAGCTCCATATGCAGGAAGTATGACGAGAAGTGTAAACAACTGAGAGACCAGGAGTCGCGAGGGAAAAAGGAAATCATCATCGATTTTACCCGTGCTGCAGTAAAAGACTTGCGCTCCAGAATCCTAGTGGCCATTCAGAAAATAGATTTCATTTTGGCGAGCATAGAAGATCGAAGGGATAAAGAGCTTCAAGCACATCTGGATGAGCTAATTGAAAGGTATGTTTGTCCATTTCAACTTTTATATATATAGGAAAATTTGCACTGGGATGTGCGCTATAAGACCGTGGCAGATTAGCATGCAGTCCATCATAATTTGCACTTGGATGTGCGCTATCTGATGAAGTATCTGCTTTTCCCGCAGTTTCTCCGTGATGTGGGAAACCATGCTCCAGTGCCGTCGGCGCCAACACGCGATCATCAAGTCACTATCAGCGGCTGCAAACTAGAAACACCATTCGACTCCGAGCCTCGACGCCAAGCCGCCCTCTTTCTGTCGATCGAGCTCGGCAAACTATGCTCAAACCTCCGAAACTGGATCGCATCCCGCAGGGCCTACCTGGGCAGCCTCAACCTGGGCCTTTTCGGAAATTTCAGTGCAGAAATACCTTGATCTGCAGAAAGGCGTCTGTGCGGCTAAATACAGGCTTCTGAGATAAGCTTGAGGTAGTGATTACTGCAGCCTGCGGGTGTACTGTACTGTATATCGGCTGGGTGAAACACTGCGACTTCATCCTTGTCAATTTTCCAAGTACATAAAAGCAAAAAAACGGTCGCTCCTCGTGTAAACTCTGAACTTTGGCCGTGTGACGGTGACCGAAATCTGTAAAATGGCATTTCTGTCGAGCGGAGACAGCAGAGTTGGAAGGCAGCATGGCTTGAAATGGCGATGTGGATGTAAAGATGCAATGGGTGTGTGTGATCCTGTAAATATGAATCGGCCGATGTTATATGTAGTTACGTTTGTCTACCAGAATAGAAGCTCGGCACAAATGCTGTGCAGTGCAGTGCGATCTTATCCTGTTGGAGATGGCGTGGCACATAGTGCCGTATCCGTCAGATGGGGCAGGCACGCTGAAAGGTTCAACCCGTTGAAATTCGACACGGTTGATAGGCTAACAAACGGCACGTACGCATACGCATGCGTATGCATTGCCATGAAATTGAGAGCAACCAGTCAGCCTAGCATTCAAGCGAGCCTCGCTGCCACCACAGTTTGGTTCTTAGCTACGCCTGCGATTATTCTTTTCTTTTTATTTATTTTTTTGAGTTGGACGCCTGCCACTATTCTGTTGGTAAAACGGGAGGAATCATGGGCACGCATCTGACCTCCCGGAAACCAACAAGCACGTCCAGCTACTGCAGCGAGATTCCTGACTGTGTAGGATAGGATCATAGTACTAGGACGCATCCATGGGAAAGGACAAACGGTAGCTCAGCCCCACGGCCCAAGTCAAAGCCCACTGCAACATGCCGCTGTTTTGCATCGCGCTCACCATTTCCACGCATCTGGAAAGAAGAGCAGATCAGGCGAACATGCCTAGTTTAACTGCGGTGCGCTCTGCATCACGGTGCGGTGCACAAGACAGAAGGAGGTTTGAAATCTGAACACTAGCTTTCAGCTTTGGATGTGAGATGCAGCCAGTGGCATGTAGAGAACAAAGCTCTGGGGTATACCCTACCCAGGCCCAGGGAGCGAGCATTGACCTAGCTAGGGTTAGGATCATAGTTTTAAATAGCACGCTAAGCATCTTAGCAGCAGACCTCTTTCAAATGCTATAGCGTGCTATAGTGGAGCTATAGCACGCTATTTAAAATATTTGTTCATTTGTTTGGACCAAAGTCTCTTAGTGCAAGACCTTTTGTAAACGCTATAGCGTGCTATTTAAAACAGGGGTTAGGATCGATGGGATGTAGTTGTTCCCCGTGATGTCAAAGGGAATTACTGTAGGCGACAGGGAGATACTCCAAGAGCATCGTCAGATGATTTATTATATATATTACTATCATGCTACTATTACCTTAAGGAATCCGTCCGTCGTGCATGGTGGCATGGCATGTGATAGGAACCAACTGTTTAGTATATTTATGTTTCACTAATTAATAATGCTCACTTAGCTAATCTCAGCTCAACTGTGTCGTTGTCCTTGGACCTTAGCTAGACCAGTTCGCGTACGACCGATGCTAGCTAGTGGATGAGGCCGGACCAGGTGGCATAAGTCAAACGGTGTAGTGTCACATGAAGAGCTTTGGATTTTTCTATAAGCGGAATCGATCTGGCGTGGAAGTGTTAAACAATTGTACGGTGGGTGCTTACCGAAAGGTGAGATCAGCATGCCATCATAAATCAGTTGATTTTCCAGCTCATGTCAAACAAATGGCCACCTACAGTACTAGAGTAGTACTACTACGTAGCTTCTTTGTATGTGTGTATACTCTTGCCGTCTTGCGGCTGCGTAGCAACCGGGGTGGACAGATTGGCCTCAACACGGAGGTACGTTTTCAGCTAGATGTTGCCATGCCAAGACGTACGGTTGAGACGTCAGAAACAAAAATGTTATTATGTCCATTAGGATAATACTATCTCCGTTTTTAAATATAAGTCTTTGTACAGATTCCACTATGGACTACGTCCAAAACAAAGTGAGTGATCCCCACTCTAAAATGCATCTATATACATCCACATGTGGTTCATAGTGATATCTTTACAAAGACTTATATTTAGAAATGGAGGGAGTATAACTGAATTTACTACTACCTTCTCCTGTACAGAAAAGTGCTGCTGACTGTCTATGTGCAAGATCAAACTGCTTTATTATGCGGACTGCGTCCTGGATGCTTGATTGGGTTGTAAAGATCATTTCCCACAAAAGAAGAAGATCACTTGAACAGGCGCCATAAACTTTCAACCGCTTTTCAACTTTCCAGTGGACCATGACATAGCTAGGCAAGAACAGATCAAGATCTGCCTATCCATCCAATCCATGATCCAGCCATCCATACATAGTCCATGACCAACAGATTAGATTATTACCCAGTGTTTAGTGGAGACAATCGAGTGCCGGCTGGACCCCATACCCATCCGTGACACTCGAAGTCCTTGGGGGGCACTCGATTACGAGGGAATGCATACCTCATGGGATGTCGTCTCGGTACGATCGTACTAGTATACTGGAGTATCATATCATAGGTACGTGCATGTCGTCGTCTCGATCGCTGCCACCGCACGTAGTTTAGTCGACCGGTACAGTCTGTCAGTCAGTCAGCTTGCGAGCGATTTTCATGGCGTATTTTTCAGAGCTGACAAACTGGCTGAATCCGTCAACCCTGCTCAGCTTTCGCGTGGCGATCGATCTGGTTCCGGTGGGGCGACGCTGTCTCTGTGTGCTTCCCCGTGCCCGTGGTGCTGTGTTGTCTGTGTGCCGTTTTCAGAAACCAATGGTTATTTATTGATATAGGAAAAGCATTCCTTGTGAGGGACCAGAAATTCGTCCCCGACGTGGCTCGAACCCTGGTTGCTGGAGACGCCACTGCGCTCTCTTGCCACTAGGCTACAGCCTAGTTCTCGTCTTTGTGAAAATAAAATACATCGTTAACAGGCGCTGTGCCGCCGGTGC